TATATTTATATTTATATTTATATTTATATTTATATTTATATTTATATTTATATTTATATTTATAAAAATATTTATATTTCGTTTATCTTTAGATGAAAAAATATACTTGTGTGTATTTGTTTGAATTCATATTTATTTATATATTTATTTATTTATTTATTTATATATTTATTTATATATTTATTTAGATATTTATTTATTTATTTATTTATTTATTTATTTATTTGCTGCAGTTACAGCTGGGGGGGCTCCGCTGGGCGAAGTGATTTCGGGTGTATCCTCAGCTGATCTGGCTCTGCACATTTTGAAGGTATTTTCCTATCGTTTTGGGATTAAATATCATTTCTGGTTGAGAAGCGCAATAGACGCAGAAGAGTATGTGTTCCCGTTTGCTGCTGTTAGAGAAGCAGCACTGCAGCAGGGCTTATCTTGCTGTCTCTCTTTGTCTTTTCCGCGCTTGCTGCATGTTGCTGCTTCTTCTGCTGCTGCTGCAGCTGCAGCAGCAGCAGATCCGCAGCTGCAGCAAGATACTATTGCTTGGCTTAACAGCCGCAAAAAGAAAAATGCTGCACTGACACCGCAGCAAGAAGCAGCATTTGCTCTGTATAAAATCTTCTCATTTGTTAAGACAGGCGTCACCGACAACCACCACCAGCAGCAGCAGCAGCAGCAGCAGGAACAGCAGCAGGAACAGCAGCAGCAGGAACAGCAACAGCAGCAACAGGAACAGCAGGACTTTCAGCTACAGCAGCAGCAACCGCACCAGCAACAACAACAGCAGCAGCAACAGCAGCAGCACCTGCTGCAGCAACAGCAACAGCACCAGCAGCAGCTGCAGCAGCTGCAGCACGAAGAAGAAATCTTCTCAATTTAAGCAAGAAGTATATGCATATTAAACCCACCAGCGCAGCAAACACAAACTGCAGATATCTATATACAGCAGCAGGAGACAGAAACACAACAGCTGTCTCCTTCTACCCTAGCAGCAGAAGTTTGCTGCAGCAGCAACTGCTGCTGCTGCTGCGTTGTCGTTAGTTGGTTTTGTGTTTGAGGGTGACGATGGCTAAGGCGAACATTATTCTCTGAAGTCTTTCTATAATTAAATAAATAAATATATATATATATATCTATATATATATATATATAGATAAGTAATTAAAGTAAACTAAACATATCAGTAAATGAATAGAGAAGAAGCAGCAAGCCTATATATATATATATATATTATATATATTATAGGTAATAGATTATATATTACATATAGTATAAGATAATGTATTAAATATTAAATATTAAGCATTATATATAATATAAATTATAGCTATTATATTATATATTATATATTTGTTGTATTTTATATATTGCATAGACTGCATATTATTTATTAATAAATAATAAATAATTTACGTTTTCTATATTTATGTAGTTACATTATATATATAATATGTATATATGCAGATGTATATCTATATATATCTGTATATGTTTATATATATATATATATATA